GATGGCAGTATAAGAATGTTTGAACCGAAGGATGGATAGTGAGGGAGTGAGTAGTCTCTTTAAGAAAAATGGGAGGGAGGCCCCTTGACGTGACATGGGCTGTCTCTCTTCGGTTCTCAAAATGGCGGACACTCTATGTGGTTTGAGCTCTTTAGAATAGCATGTCACACAAAGCTTTTAATAAAAAAAAATAAAATCAGTAAACAAGTTCTCAGCTTCATTTTGCAGAGAAAAACAACTTTTTACACAAAGGCACGGGTTTCGACCATAAATTTTTGGAGCTTTGACAAGACGAAGGTTTTTTCCAGAGGTCGGCCTGTTAGCTTAGCTTATAGCTTAGCTTCTCAGCTTAGCTGCTTTTAACGATCCAAAAACGCAATTCTGGACAGTTAAAACAGATTTTAAAGAGAAAAGAGAAAGGGAGGGGTCAGTGAAGAGCACTGGAGTTGAGCCTTTTGTCATCAAGTGTCTTCAGTAGAAAGAGACATGAAGAAAAGATAAAGCGGATAAATGAAAATGAGGTTGATAATTTTCATTTATCATGCGATTAATTAATTTATTGTTTATCATGACAGGCCTAGGTACATGGCGCTCAAAAATCAGTCAAAATGAACGTGTTTCGCTCAGTGCACCTTATAGTCCGAAAAACACAGTATACTTTGGTTTTCATTATTATTTCTTAATAGCAGAAGGTTGGAACTTTGAACATTATAACAGTTTGTGACATGTTTTTTTTATATTGCAACGTTAAACATGTGAAAGAACAACCTTTAAGAGTGGTGATGTCATAAATTAACCAGGGGTTGTACAACTCTGTTGTTTCTCGTCATCTTACTATAAAACATCTGGCATGAATGTGGCGGGTGACGTGCATTCTTCAAGAACTTAATACTAAGTTTTATTCTAGTGTAAGGGTATTAAATTAAATTTAGTAGCATGTTATCTTTGTAGGGCAGCACGGTGGCGCAACTGATAGAGCTGCTGCCTCTCAGCAAGAAGGTTGCTGGTTCAAATCCCAGTCCCCTTTCTGGGTGGAGTTTGCATGTTCTCTCCGTGCAAGCGTGAGTTTTCTCCGGGTACTCTGGTTTCCTCCCACAGACCAAAAACATGCATGTTAGACTGACTGGCAACTCTAAATTGTCCTTAGGTGTGAGTGAGAGAGTGAATGGTTGTTTGTCTCGTTTGTCTCTGTGTGTCCCTGTGATGGACTGGCAAAAAGATAATGGATGAATGAATGGATGGTTATCTTTGTAAAAACAACAACCAAAAAGCCAATTCTAACTCTTTTTTTATGATCTGCCTGGTAAACCACTGCACAAAGCTGTTAATCTCAATCTGCTGCAAATAACTATTTAGGTCACAGTTAACAGCACGAGTGCTTTTTGAACCCTGCTAATATAGTTTTATTGATGCTGAATAGAGCATGAAGAGGCTCTAAAGCCCAGAAGTTTACCACAGAATGGGTAAAAGTCAGTTCAACTTAAAATCAAAGATCAATCAAATCATGAATGTGCACCATTTTTCTTTATCTACACAGCTTAAGGGCATGTTACTATAAGTTTAAAGAAGCTGAATTTCAAATTTCCCAGTAAACAACCTGGAAATGTGGAGGCTATGGCTCTAAAGCACTGATTACACCCTGTAGAGCAGACGTGGGCAATATATGCCCCGAGGGCCTAAAGTGGCCCTTGGACAATCTCTCTTTGGCCCTCAATATTCTCAATTGAAAAGAAAACAGATGAAAACCTGCATTTTATCAATGAAACATAAAATCTAAATTAAACATCTTGGACAATTACTTTAAAAACATTTGGATTAAGAAAGGCCAAACACTTTTTCTTGAAGTTGTCGTGTTTCCAGAACTAGATTGGACATTAAAAACCCCAAAAAGCAAGTATATGGTGGTTTTTTTTACACATTTAAGCTAACAAACATATTGTCTCAAGAGCCAGTTTACAATTAAAGATTGTAGCCTAGATAAAGCCTAAAAAAATTGTTCCAGATTATCAGTCTTAAAGCAAATCTATTTACTATTTCTCTATGCGACCCTTCGATTGCTTTTATTTTGGCCCACTGGTAAAAAAAATATTGCCCACTCCTGCTGTAGAGTGATTTATTCAGATTAGCTTTGTAGAGCTGCAGTCGAGCGCTGTGTGAATGTGTGGACAGGTAAATGAGCTGTAAAGTGCTTTGAGTAGCCTGGTTGGTCAGAAACATGGTATACAGTAGTCCCTCGCTACTTTGCAGTTCGTTTTTCGCAGACTCGCTCTATCGCAGTTTAAGTACAGTACTGTACATAATCAAAAAATTTTAAAAACGCCGCCATTATGTAGTTTTCTTTCATTAAGCTTTACTGTTTTCCCAGTCTAAAGAACCACGTTACCCAGAAGCCATCAGTTCACTTCCCAGAAGTCAACACTGCTTCCAACCGCTGCTTTCTGCAAACGGAGGGAAAGTTTTGCAGCAAAATCAAAAGTAATGATAATAATCTCACAGAACTGGCAGGAAAGTCACAAATAATTCTGAAGCTGAACTCATCCTTCACGTCGTATCTTCACTGCTGAGTAGCTGCAGCTGATCCAGAATCAGTCAGTGTGACCCGAATCCTGGGAGCTGCAGGGAAAAGACAGCTACAAGCTTCAGCCTGGTTCTGGTTGCTAAGTGCTGGTTCGGACCGGGCCAGAGGTGGTGGATTAAATCCTGGGCAGCCTTGCTCCTGGAGCAGCAGCGGTGGGCTTCAGTCAAGCAGCACTGGGACTTTTTTCATCTATCGGGTCGGACGGAACTGAGCCGCTCCTGTTCTGCAGAGCCTTGTAAGTAAAATTTTGTAGCTCCTGCAAGTACTGTATGTTGTTCAAATTAGTAGGTTTAAGAGTTTAGAGGACTGATTGTGAGTTTCATTGTTGCAGGATCGTCTTCAGAAACGAACCGAGTCAGAATAGAGTTGGACCAGAACCAGAGCTGTTGCTGCTCTGCAGAGCTGTAAGTAAAATTTAGCAACATATGTTGTTAAAATGACGTAGGTTTAAGAGTTTATAATATTGCAAGAGTGTGGGAAGTGTTTCTAATAAAGTTTACGGTACTTGAACTTGGACTACTGTATCTCTACTTCGTGGTTTACGCGGGGCTTCAGGGTACGGAACCTCTGCGATAAACGAGGGACTACTGTATAAGTACAGTCCATATACCATTTTCTAAATGATCTCAACCTATCAACACTTGATGAAAGATTATATTTCTATAAGAATCAGCGCTGCTTACTTTTCCTTCTCAAGATGATTAATTTACAAATCCTGCACGTATTAATTAAGCATGTGCTCTGTGCCCGTATGAGAAAGGATTACCGGTGTGCACTCCCCCAGAAAATACACGGTCACATTTTTCTAGTGAATCGCTACAAAACACCACATTCTGCTGGGAAATAATTATTCAACGCGTGTTAAATAAAATCTTTTCACGACAGTGACTCACACTGCCTCTCAGCCTTCGAACAATCCGTAAAAAATATGAAAATAAAAACGAATACTGCACAACACATGAAATGCACATAAACTTGTTCCAGCAGATGATGGATTCAGTCCAAGAGACTGGATTTTGTTCCCACGAGGAGAACAGAAACCCTCCCTCCTTTTCTTGCTTAAAAACTCAAGAAGCAGAGGGCGGGTGGGAGAGGAGGGGTTCAATCTGTGTCATCTCCGGGTTAGTTGTCGAGGAAGAGGACGGGGGATGTGAGGTGATGTGAGCGAGTGTCAAATGGGATTAAATCATAGTCGCTTCGATAATTAGGCTTTCAAGAGCGCTGCCCGTCTCTGGCGTCTGGTAGCAGAATGTCGAGGAGACGCTGATGGTGGCGGACATTGACAAAGTTTCAAGGATTCGAAGGAAGTGGAGGAGAGACGGGCTGACGTGAGCAAGACAGGAGGGCACCAGGTGCACAGGATGTAGAAGAACAAACGGAAAGTCTGTCCTGTCTACAACTTGCACAATACATTCATAAACTGTGTCTTCAGCGGACAACGGTGAAGGATCTCGTAGAGAGTTTCTTAGTTCCAGAGAGGTTTCTTTAAATAATTATTTCTGCTGCTATCCTTTTCGAAAAGACCTCCCTTGATGAGAACGACCCCCAGCCACAGGTTAGAAGGTCTGGGGCAGAGGTCAGGTTAATTTGGGACAATAATCTGAAGCTTCTCAGAAGCACGTGCTCCGACAGGCACTAGTTTATTTTGCTCACACGCTGCGGACGCACGTGTCTTTAAAAAGGCCCGACGCTGCCGCAGACAGCTCGTAAATTATTTTAACAGTCGACAGAGAAGACACGACACGGAGGAACAGGCTGAACCTGAAGACGTGGACACTCGACTGAAAGCACCAGCACACGGCTGCAACTGCATTCTGATTATTGTGATCACTTTCATACGTACGGTACCTATTTTTTGGCTTTGTGCAAAAAAAAAAAAACTCTTCCATGTAAAACTCTAAAATGGTAAATATAAATAGTTTCATTTCATAAATGCTGTATGACGGCAGTTTTTACAAGGAGTGAAAATGAAACAAAATGGTTGTTCTTCTGACTGCACACTCACCACTGCATCAACCTGAAGGTCAAAGGGAATGCATATACACCTGCTTAAATATCATACATAACTTAGAAGCGCAATAAAATTACCAGCGCAGATTAAACGGTAAACTGAGAAGTTCGTGTTGTTGAACATTGCGTGATGATTCAGAACAAGAGAGAGAACTGAAGTTGATGCTGGAGAGATGAAAATGGACCAGAGAGAAGAAAAGGAGGAAAACATGGCAACTGGCGTTTGTTTGAGCTTTTGTGAGAGGAGAAAATAAACCCTATTCAGTCCTTGTAGAAACAGCGATTTGAAGCAGCTCACCAGACTGAAAATGTTTCAAACGTACAAAAGTAAAAGAAGAAAATAGATTTTGTTCTCTGTACACGGTGCCACTCCTTGTTTTCGCTTAAAAAAAACAACTTCCGACCTTGTGTTCAGGTAGCATCTTTGCTGTTTGTGCAGAGTTGGTAGGAGTAAAGAAGTCACGTGGACTTCACAGGCAGGACACTTGTCTGATCCGAGGTCAGCAGAACGTCCACAGCTGTCCCTTTTAAAGCGAAGTCACCCACTCATTTAGTTAGTGCTCATCTCGAGGCGTTCTCATTCCGCCTCCACAAACGTGCGGAGTTTGACGAGTTGGGGCCAGTCTAGTTTCTGGATCAAAGCCTCACCCTGCTGTCTGTCTATGATTGGGTTTGTTACTGCGTTTAAGCCGAGCCCAGAGAGCTTCGACTCGCCTCGGGTCAGTCCAACGATATGACGTCAGGTATCCCGCCGTAAATAGCTGCCACCGCCGCTTCAGCGCTGCTCCTGCTGGCCACCACCCCAGGGTGTGTGTGTGAGGAGTGTGAGACCACGTGCGAAGACAAGTGGGTGGGATGAGTGTCACGGAGGCCGCTGGACGACACCAAGCTGCTGCCCGAGTTGCTCACTCCGTTGGTCGGCACGGTCAGCGATGTGGCCGAGGGGGTTCCCGACTGGTCGAGGAACAGCTGGGAGGCGGAGGAGGAGGTGCTGTAGGGCAAGAAGCGGTTGAGAAGCAACTCATGCTCATCTGACGTCGAGGCAGCTGCTGCTGCTGCCATTACCATGTTGTAATGCTGCAGAATGAGAAAGAAAAGGGAGATAAATGGGATGGCTCCTGACTGGCTGAGTAAAGAGGTCAAAATGATAAAACTGTGAAAACTTAAGTCCACCCTTGCTGCTTTCACTGCATTTACAAGCAAAAGACACCGGGCGCTCCTGAATTAGATGCGCTTGATTAACTGATCATTTGTGTGAATGCCTCTGTAAAACCAGGTGGATTGTCAGTGTGCTCCTCTGGAGAACACAGGTGTGTTAACACAATGCCAAGCAGAAAAGACATCAGCAATGACCTCAGATAAACAACTGTTGCTGTGCATCGATCTGGGAAGAGCTACATGGTCATTTCCAAACTGTTAGAAGTCCATCCATCCAACAAAGTGCAACATTATTTAAAGGTGTAAAACATTGGACAACGGTCGACGTTTCTGCAAATTCACCCCAAAATCAGACTGTGCAATGTTCAGAGAAAAGACCAAAACCTAAGAGCTCCACTGCAGACTACAGGTCTCATTTAGCAGGTGAAATGTTAAAGTTCATGACAGCACAGTTAGAAAAAGACTGAACAAACGGTTTGGATGTGCTGCAAGGAAACATAATCACTACGACTCAGGTTTGTAAAGCTGCATCTGAATAAAGAAAAGGCGTTCATTATTTAAGAATCCATGTTTGGCAAACAGCAGCTTTCGAGCACGGCGGTGTAGAGATGCCGATTTGGACTTGTTCTGCAGCAATAAGTCCTGGACATCTTGCAGTCTTTGACTAGACCACGAGCTTCTCTGTTTACTGAAGGACTTTCGTTTCACTTGTGAGGTCATGTGTCTTAAACTGCACCATGGATCTGACCAATACTCCCAAACACAACAGCAACAGAACAGCTGAAAAAGAAAAGAATCAGGTTGTTACAACGGTTCAAAGCCCGCACCTCCACATGACATGCTGCGGTGGGACGTCAGGAGAGCTGAGCAGAAACAACATCTGCAAACTTTAATGACCTGAAACAACACCGTCAGGAAGACTGGGCCAAAATACCCCCACAACCCTATAAAATAAATATTATGTACAAACTAGTAGACCAGACAGACAGTAGTCTTTTTCTCATGACTATGGGAGGACAAGCTGACACGGTTCCTTGACGGTGTGATGATGACAGTCTGTGTGACTCGCCACCGCAATATTTCCATTAGGAGATGACCGACAAATATTTTATGCGTCTTGCTCAAAGTTATGTCGTTCCTCTTTTGGCGTTGAAATTTCAGCATCATCTGTGTAAATTCCCACTGTGACGGGCAGCTCAGTTGGTGAGGCAGCTTAAAGAGGAGCTTGTCTTTGCAGCCATATTGTGGAACAGTTTGGTCAAAAGGCCTAAATGTCTCTGAGCTGGACACTGAGGGACGCTTTGAGCTGAGAAGGCGAGTAAGTGTTAAGTCTGCAGATGTGCGCTGATGCTCATTCCGAGTCCTGCTTCATGTTTTCAAGCACACAATGCCACGTTAGCTATTCCAGTATAAAGCTCCAGTGCAGACTGACCAGCGTCAGAACAGACTCAGAAAATGTTGAATCTTTAAAAACTCAGTTCTCCTTGAAATTCCCTCTAACCTCACGTTATCAGACAGGCAGCACAAATCCCTGACGCACACATGTCGTATCCTCAGCAGCTGGATGTTGTACCACTTAGGCTAAATGAGAGGTCGTCTCTCACACTGGACAACTTTCATTTGTCAAAGGTTTTGCTCTCACGACTCCTTAAATAGCTCAAAGAAACTAAAACCCACAAGAAAAAAAAAAAAAAAAGGAGCACTGTGTCCTCGAAGGACTTTAAAGAAAAATTCCACCATAAAATATTTATTTTTAATTAGTTATCTTAGCAAGACGATTTTTAAAAAATATTATTTGTCTAATTACTACAGAGAAAAAATTTGTTAATAAATTTCGCCTTTCGGGACAAAATCTTCTAAATAACACACATCAGTGAACATACCTGATGATTGTCTCCTTGAAGAAAAGAGAAGAAATTCAACTCTGGAAAAGAAGCAGAATTATTGGTGAATGAAACAAAGGATGTCAATATGAAACATGCTAACGAGCTTCATGCCACCAAAAACATTTAGCCTCTTCACACCCGCATGCTCACATAGCTGCCCAATACACATCTCTCTTGGGGGGTGGATCCTTGTGACTCAATGAGTATGTCTGTATAAATGAAGGTTAAAAAAAATTAGGGATGCACGATCCACATTTTTTTTACTTCCGATCCGATTCTGATAACTAAATCTAAATATCGGTCGATTCCGATCCAGTTCCGATATCATGATCATCGTTGATTTTATATGAAGCTGTAATAATCTCCGCTCAAGTACAATTTGTACAAATATATGCATGTATGTCCAAAAAGGCAACTTGAGGTAAGTTTTATTAATGTTGGATAAGTTTTAAAGTTAGAATTAAATTCTTCTAACACAAAACATGTTTCTTTTTATTCTTAGCTTTAAAGTGGATATTAAAGTGATTAATTTAAGTGATTGTTTAAAGTTGTTTTATATTTTTTAAATAAGGGGCAGATATAAGATTTTTCTTCTTTTTGCACTCTTTTCATTCAGTGTTGTCTTTTTGATGGATTTGTTTTGTTTCTTTTAAATGAATGAATAAATGAATTAAATAAAACAAAATATTAAATGGCTTTAAAGATCTGCTAAGTTCATGGCATAAACCAACAGACATGTTCCTGTTTTTAGTATTTTACATCACTTTATAATGGAGCAGTTTTTGTTTCATATATATGATTTTCTTGTAATTTTCAAATCATATGTTTTTTTTATGATTGTCTACTGTTGTACTGATAAATATCTCCTGGAGGGTGAACTATATCTTGGCTGCATCAAGCTGTGAAATCCTTCATTTTCTACAACTGATAGTGGTTGGTCATTAATTATGATGAAGTTTAGCAGCTTCTCTGTAAACATTTGAGCTCTGTGGTTTCAGTGATGTCTTCTTCTTGTTAAATCCAAAGCAAGCAGTCTGAGCTCGGTCAGCCGCGCTCAGTCTGCCTCTCCTCCGACACGGACAGACTGAGCGCGGCTGACCGAAATCAGACTGCCTTCTCTGGACTGAACGAAAATTACAGACTGCTGAAGCCATGGAGCTCGAATGTCCATCGTAAAACTAACTTTACCATGGTTTAATGTGGTGCTATGGCTCTGCAGACATTGCACGTTGCTGTCTTGTTTTGTGGTGTTTCTAGTGTTAAATACTTCTACACAGCGGACATGTTTAGATGAAAAGTTTTCAACACTGTGGCTAACAAGCTGTTAGCCACAGTGTTGAAAACTCAGTCCTCACGTTGTAGCTGGCTGTAAACTATGAAATGGATTTCCTGAATGTGAGGCGGGTTTTATTATTCTGGGTTCATGAGATGCGCCGCCGTTCAGGAAATCCATTCCATAGTTTGAAGCCAATGTGCAGCGCAACCACAGACATGCATGGATCGGAAATATCAGCAGATTGGATCGGAAAATCTGATACGTAAATTATGCTGGTAAAGGAGCCCGATACGGATACTGGATCGGATAGGCCCCATCCCTAAAAAAATCTGACCAGGTCACAGTCGAAACAATGAAACGGGAAGGGGAATATGGGGATGGCGCAGAGCAGCTTTTGCTCCACAAAGCACAAGTTTGCAGTAGAAGGAAAAAAATGGCGACCAATGACTTCCTGGTAGGCTACTGTATTTTTCCCCGACAGTGAATGAGACTGAGAACGTGTGTGATCAAGTTTTTCTGAGGCTGTTCAACTCTGACACTGACAAAGATGACTTTAGTGGTTTTAGTGCACAGGACAAAGATGAACAAGGCGATCAGTGACTTTTCCTGGTAAGCTACTGTATTTATTCATTTATTTTAACCAGCCATGTTAAAAGCATTGTTCAGAAAAAAACAATTACTGAACGTATTTGTGTGTTACTGGTACGTATTTAATTAAAAGTTGAAAAAGTCTTTCTGTGTAAATATCTCATGTTACAACGTGAACACCCGTGGCTTATAGACAAGAGCGGCTTATACTTGTACAAAATTGTTCTTGTTTTTTTATATTTTCATTTAGTGTGCGCTCTGTAGTCCGGACATTATGGTCAACAAAAAGCAATTTTGAGGCTTTTGAGTGTTGCGCAGTTTCTATCTAATAATCTCAATCTAGGTTTGTAAGCTCAATCATGTAGGTAAATAAATACAAAAAAGTTTAAATCATGTCCTCTGGACAAGCTGACAATGTTTCTCCCAAAAAGAAAATTGTCCAAATGACACGATTTAACAATTTGTGTCATTTCAATCTAACTTATTAATCTAACTTTGGACTTTAGAATTCCAACACACAGTTCAATATTTAAAAAATGAAGAAACTCGTTTGAGTAATCCCCAATAAATACGAGCTGTGTTATTACCTGACAGGTCATTGGGGGTGTGGTAGTAGGGTCTGTAGTCCTGGATGAGTGGGGGGACAGGAGGGATGTAGCTGGTGTCCATCGCGGGTATGCTGGGGGTGTGGCTCACAGGCGAGGCCTGGTGGTGCAGGTTCAATACACTGCAGAAACACAGAAAGGAGAATGGAGATGATGAGAAATTCATTAATTTATGATCAGGCTTTTACTTAACTGTTCTGAAAGTCACCCCCCCCCACACACACACACACACACACACACACACACACCCCCAATGAGCCTGAAACACGAAGGTCTGTTCAGCAACATCGAGTCATTAGTCGAATGAAGCAGCAGATGCTTTCAGGTGCACTGAGTCCGGATGAGTTTCAGGACACCTCTTCAGTCAAACTTGTTTGTGAATTAAAAACCAAATCATCTTTTATGAACCCAAAAGGTTTGTTAGATATTTAAATTCACTTTTTTAAGACTCACTGAACTTTAACCCTGCATGCCAACGTGCAGCAGGATGGAGCGATCAGAACTCTTCCTGTGAAAAGTCCCTCGTCATCAAACATTTCTTGGTCATATAGAACCAGTTTTAAAAGACACTTTGTGAGTTCAGGTGCAACACAGATATGAGAAGGTAAACAAATGATTCTGGTGTCGTCTCACCCTTTGTTAATGATGGGAGGCGAGGTTGGGGACAAAGAGGGACACGCTCTTTTGATGGGAGGCGGCAGTGGTGGAGGCTGCGGAGGAGGCTGCAGCGGAGCAGGAGACTCCGGCCCTTCGTCGTCTGAGGAGCTGTCTAGCGTCAAGTCGATCACTTCCACTTTCTTGCCATTGCTGCTGTCGCCGTGGCAGGAGGAGGAGGAGGAGCTCCTCTGAGCCGAGCCTTCAGATGTCCGACAGGATCCTGCAGAGCAGCACTAATGCCTCAGTTTGGTTTATGACTCTCAAGGGCGCCAAAGTAAAGAAAACAAAACAGAACAGAAAGCTGCGAGTCTTTAAAGGCTCAGAAACACATTCGTCCTCGTCCAAAACGAGTCAACGTTTGGGTTACTGTAGAAACTGTAAATTTACAGGCAGTTTGATTTATGCTTTACCAAATAAGAACTGACTGAGGAAAAAAAAACAAAAAAAAAACAACAACAACAAATAAAATACCCATTTTATTTCCTAATTGTACTGTTTTCAGCCTTCCAACCGACTTTTGACACAAAATCTGCCCCCCCCCCCCATCACTCACCATCCAGGCCGTTGTTATAAGATGCTGAAGAGACTTCCTGCACTTCCTTCTTAGACCTCATGGGGGCCCAGCTGCCATCCTCTTTAAACTGGATCTCATCACAATCCATGCAGCTGTTGAGGATCTCCACAAAAAGCCTGAGAAAACACACACACACACACACACAAAGACACACAAACAGGTATTATTAAAACAAACAGTGGAACCATGGTAAATGGACTGTACTTATATGGAGCTTTTCTATCTTATCAAGATACTCAAAGCTGTTTACAATCTGTGCCTCATTTACCCATTCATACACTCTACTAGATCTCTACAAAGAATAACCAAGAGCTTTATCACATTCATACACTGATGGGACACACATCAGCGGCAGTGAGAGGTTCATTGTCTTGCCCAGGGACACTTGAGCATGTGACTGCTTGTGGAATCGAACCACCAACTCTCCCATTGGAGGATGACTGCTCTAACCACTCAACCACAGCCGCCCCCAACAATATGCTCTATGTACAATTATTTCTACTATACCAAATGTTTATATCGACCTTGTTTGTCTCTGTTTTAAGGATTTTTCATAAGAAGTCAGACTCAATTCAGTCTTTTCCAGACCAAACTTTCCAGACTTCTGTTGATTTAGGAGACATTTTTAAATAAAAAATGTAAATTTACATTTTTAATGAAAAAATGTAAATTTACATTTTTAATGAAAAAAATGTAAATTTACAGTTACTGGTCATGTATGACAGTGGTGCAGTTTAAATGTCTGAAGGATATGAAAAGCTGATGCATATGGAAAAGGTGATTTCCCTACCACCCTCCCTCCCTCCCTCCCTCCCTCCCTCCCTCCCTCCCTCCATCCATCCAGAGCCCTGTAAAGAGAGAGTTGCGACACTCCCATAGACTCCCATAGAAAGAATGGAATGCGGAAGTCACGTGGGTCATGAAGCGGCAAAGAGTTCCAAACAGCAGCGGGTTCAGCATTGAACGTAGTACATTCTCCGTGTTTTCCCGGTAAGTTGATGCAAATACGACACTTTTTTGCCATTGTGAAGCGTTATCTGACTGTTCTGTACCACAGTTTATCAACATTAATACTTCATGTCGCCAGTTTTAGTTAATGAAACATGTTAAATTGCTAGTTGTGTTTTAACTGCAGCTGCTCTGCAACATGACGGTTTAAACGGGTCTATTTCTAATTCAGCGTTTTAAAATATCTATTACTGATTAAATTTTGAAAGATGGTCTTTTTTAAATTTATGGTAATTCCAGTTACTGAACTCAACTAGAAAATATTTGGCCTTTTTTTCCTGAGATTCATTCAACCTTTATTTCTACAGGTAAATCCCATTGAGCCTCGAGGACTCATTTACAAGAGAGACCTGATTTAACAAAGAATGATGACAACATGACAACAAGACTTACGTAATTTAGTTAAAGTTATAGATCATTTGTCAAAGACTGCAGCATAAATTGTGACATTATCATTAAAGAAAAACGTGATTGTGGAGATGAGTCAATGTTTTCATGTTTTCCAGGTAAACCAGAGGAGAATGACTTCATGAACTGAATGTTGCATTCAAAGTATCACAAAGGTACAAGATCTCATTTTCTGTCTTCTATTAATCAATAACAGCTGAATCAAGATGTTTGAATAAAATTACTTTAACACCATAACCTTCACAAAGTTGGTATTTACTGCAGGACTGTTAAATTACATTAGTTTTATATTATTAGTTTAGTGTTTGGTAATCATGGGTCAAGTTGAGATGAGACTCTTTCAAGACAGAACAATAAATAAGAATTATTACAAGAATAAATCAGCATCAATAAACTGTAGGACAGCAACAAAACACTTATTAAACTATCACAGGTACATTGAGATGGAGCTGGAAGTTATTCTTCATGCCAGTTGTCTTCATCTGATCTTTTGTAAAAATATGTCAATTTATTTTCCATTAACATTTTTCTTCACAGGACTGAGTTAATTTTCTTGTCTGTGAGTTTCTTCTGTCCTGCTTATGTATGTTTTTGTGTTCTAATTGTTCCTCAGGTTGTTCATCTCTGTTCCTGACTGCCTGTTGATCCATCCTCCTGGTCCTGTTGATTCATCCTCCTGGTCCTGTTGATCCATCCTGGCCCTGTTGATCCTGGATCATCAGATCCTGACATGTCCCCGTCCTCTGAGGACACATTTTCATCTGTCCCTCATCTCACTTGCCTCATTTCTGTTTCTTCCTCAGTCTCTGAAATTACAACGTCACTGTTAGAATGAAGATTATTGTTCAATAAAAATATGACATGTCTTATTTAACATTGTTCGTACCAAAGTTTAATTTAGAACAACATATGTGATCACTGGTCAGATCACTGGTCAGTGGATCAACATGCAGTGGAAGTTCTGCTGTTCTTCTCATCTGGTTCTGGTCCATGAACAACTGGTTGAACCTCCTTCTGTCTCACACGTCCTCACTGTGTCTCTGTGAACTGTCCTCTCTCTAAATGTGCCTGTAGAGTGACATTAGTTTATTTTCTTGCACATTTCTTTGACAGTTAAACATTTTGAGCCCTGATTGAAAATGTTTGTGCAGATTAAATTTACAGCTCTCACTTTGTTTTGTTGTGATGATGATGATGGTGCTCCTGCTGACTTGAGATGATGTCATTAATAAACAGTATAAATAGTAGTAAAAGTACTTTATTAAAGCTTGCTTTACATTTTACATATTTTATAATAAATTGTTTGGAAATTTATTTTTGCACAGTTAACACTTATTTTGTCATCTGTTGTGATTTTAACTAGAAACAGTTTCATTTAAATTAACATTTTAATCAATGAATTACAGTTTTACAATAGTTGTCAGGCTACAAGCACAATCAACTCAGTTATCAGGTACTTGGTTGCCATAAAAAATGACAAATACAACAATTATATTCAGTCTCTCTTGTAAATGAGTCCTCAAGGCTCAATGGGACGAACCTGTTTAAATAAAGGTTGAATTAATATCTTCTATAGAAATCAATAATTCATCCAGATGTTCTGAGGTAAGATGGAGCAGATCTGAACTACAGGCATGGAGGACAAGGTGGAGCATTCTCATGCAGCGAACATCAGAAACAGCTTTATAACAGGTGTTACTCTGATCTTTTTTTAACGTTATAAAACACTGACATGGCTATATTGATCATTGTATTGCATATACATTATTTTTCTAACAAATATGTGTTTGCAGTCTCGTTTCCTTCTAAAATTTAATGATAAATGTATCAGCTGCTTCTAAAAATGCTTTGATAAAATGCATAGTCTGTGAAATAATCAGTAATCAGTTAAGTAATCAGTTCGTTACTGCTCAATAATTACTGAAAGACGTCAGGTAAAGTAAGAAAAGTCGATTTTTGTGTTATGTTGCGCCAGCAGCCGCTCAAACTGACTGACAGCGATGAACTGTTTGGAACTATGGGGAGCTGCATGAACCACGTGACCGCGTATCGGCGAGTTCAAAGAGTGTCGCAACTCTCTCTTTACAGGGCTCTGCATCCATCCATCCATCCATCCATCCATCCATCCATCCATCCATCCATCCATC